CGTGCGGTTTCACTCATTCACCCTCTCGCTCTCTCGCTTGCTTGCGCTTCTTGCGTCGCCACGCACACCCTAGACATCTTCGTGTGTTGTGGTGCGGTAAAAATAATGCGCGCAGTTGCCCTGCGCTGCCTCGCGAGGCCCCCACGTACGGCTGTGGTGGCCGAAAGGCCGTAACACCGGACATTAGCACGGTGTTGCTGTATTACCGTGGCCTTCTATTTCTCGCCATTTTCTTGGTGGACCTTGTTCTACCTGCCCGCCACTTCGCGACACTGGCCCATAACGGTCAATTCTCGCGTGGCGCCAACCTTGTTTGCGCCGTGCGGAGAGGGACAGAATTTCTCTCTGTCGTGCGCGTGGCGTTGGGAAACCCGACCGTTGGTCGCTCAACGGCCTTGGCTGGTCTTCTTCTCTCCCTTTTTGCCCGGTGGCGCTTGCGGGTGTGTTTTAGTGTGACTTCAGTGTCGCGCGCTCGTCGTCTACTCACCCATTCTTCTTCTTCCTTCTTCTCCTCCGTTCTCTCTCCTTTCCCGCTCTTTCTCCCTCTCCGCCTGCCCTTCCTCTCTCCGCCCATCCCTCACTACCGGGGCACCGCACCGACATCTACGGCATCGGCAGGCGACATCCTCTTCACCCCGACGTTTTTCGGAAAGTTGGTGAAGCGAGCCTTTCCTGGCATCAAGGACATGCGAAAAGGTCCACGGGGGAGTGCAAAACAGGTACGACCGCCCATCCCGCTGCATCTTCGCATCCCTCGTCGCGCTGCGCTGCGCTGCGACATCTCCTCTGCTCCCTCTCGCTGTTTATATTTGTCGCCAACTGGCGTAGAGCGATGGCCTTATTGTTTCTCCTTTTGCCTGTCAACGACCTGTCCCTTCGGTTGGGTCGTATTTTTAGCTCTCCACCATGATGCCTCTCTTCCCCATGATCTTTCTCCTCGCGCCCAGCCCTTTTCCCTTTCTCGGCCTTTACCATTACCCTCCAAATTCGCGGTTTGTACTTCTTTTATTTCATATATATATATATTATCTTATTTTTGGCGCTTCTCCGTCCCGATCTTCGTTGTCTAACTCTTGCGCGACACGCACACGCGCGCTATTATCCCTATTATCTGCAGCATTACGCGCGACTCCAGCGTCAGACAGGCGATAACCCGCCCGAAGGCGCCGAGAGCCGCGAGGGAGACGGTCAGCGGGCGGCACCCAAGCCCGCCGCTATCGTCTTCCGACATTACCACCCTGACCGCTTTGCCGCCGCCGGCCAAGGGGATCCGCACGCCACAGGCAGCTCTTCCACGCCTGTGCCGCAGCTGCGCGACCCCACTGGGCCGGAAGGTGGCGGTGGCGGTGCCTCTGGTAGTGGTAGTGGAGGTGGTGGAGGAGGGCGACGCCGAG